TGGGATTATTTGGATTATTTGGATTATTTGGATCATTGGGAATGGGATCCATGTGTGCCCAGAGCCTCGCCGGTGCCCGCCAGCGCCGTGCCGCCCGCCGGGGATGGGCCTGAGGGGCCTGAGGGGACACCTGAGCCCTTCAGGGATGTGGGGGATGCCTGGAAAGAGATGGGAATGGGATTAGTGGGATTATTTGGAATGGGATCATTGGGATTATTTGGAATGGGATTATTTGGATCATTTGGAATGGGATCCATGTGTGCCATGGCCCACCAACACCGTGCTGCTTGCCAGGGCCAGGCCTGAGGGGCCTGAGGGGAGCCCTGAGCCCTTCAGGGATGTGGGGGATGCCTGTGGAGAGATGGGAATGGGATCATTGGGAATAAGGGAACGGCATCATTTGGATCATTGGGAATCAGTGGGGGTGGGTTCCACCAGGAAGCGTTGGAGGACCTTTGGGATTGGAAGATTTTTGGGACTGGAGGATTTTCGGGTGCCAGGCCCGCTTGCCCTATCCCCATCTCCATCTCCATCCCCATCCCCATCCCCATCCACCTCCAGCAGAAAGAGCGGGACAACAACAAGGTGACCCTGCCATTCCCACTCCATTCCCGATGGAATTCCCGGCATTCCCAGCTCCCCACCTGCAGGATGTCCATTCCCACCCCATTCCCGATGGAATTCCCGGCATTCCCAATGGCATTCCCGGCATTCCCAGCTCCCCACCTGCAGGATGTCCATTCCCACCCCATTCCCAATGGAATTCCCAGAATTCCCAGCATTCCCAGCTCCCCACCTGCGGGATGCAGGCCGGTATTACCCATTCCCACCCCATTCCCGATGGAATTCCCGATGGAATTCCCGGCATTCCCGATGGAATTCCCAGCATTCCCAATGGCATTCCCGGCATTCCCAGCTCCCCACCTGCGGGATGTTGACGAGCAGGCTGGCGCTGGGCACGTTGGCCACGCGGATCAGCCCCTGCTGGATGATCCTCTGGCCCTGCAGCTGCACCGAGGGCACCGAGGCGCGCGGCGCCAGCAGCAGCGGCGGCGGCCCCGAGCTCGAGTGCTGCCGGATCGTGTGGATTTGCTGGGAACACACGGAAAAAAGAGCAGGAAAAGCGTGGGAAAGTGGGAATGAATCAGGTGTGAAGGAAATAAACCCAGGAATGTTCTTCCTTCTCCCTCCATCTTTTTCTTCCCCTCAAGGACTAAGGGACAAGAAGTGCCCTGAGCATTCCAGCTCCAAATCCCAAAGTTTTGGACTGGATTTGCTGGGAAAACACGGAAAAAAGAGCAGGAAAAGCGTGGGAAAGTGGGAATGAGCCAGGCACGAAGGAAATAAACCCAGGAATGGTTTTCCTTCTCCCTCCATCTTTCCCTTTTCCCACAGGACAAGAAGTGCCCTGAGCATTCCAGCCCCACATTCCCACATTTCTGATTGGATTTGCATGGAAAACACGGAAAAGGGGGTTGGGAATCCATGGAAAAGTGGGAATGAGCCAGGAGAGAAGGAAAACAAACCCAGGAATGTTCTTCCCTTTCCCTCCAAACCACGGGACAAGGAGCACCCTGAGCATTCCAGCCCCAAATCCCAAAGTTTTGGACTGGATTTGCAGGGAAAACACGGAAAAGGAGATTGGGAATCCATGGAAAAGTGGGAATCAAAAGGCACAAAGCCAAAGAAACCCTGGAATGACACAAACAAAGCCCAAAAATCCCAGGAAACCTCGCTGTTATCCCTGGAATTCCACGGGGTGTCTGAACCAAGGGGGGGGGAGATCCTGAATTTTTTCCTGGGATGGGAAAAGCGGGAAAAAATGGGGAAAAAATGGGGAAAAAGGGGGAAAAAATGGGGAAAAAGGGGGAAAAAAGGGGGAAAAAATGGGGAAAAAGTGGGAAAAAAGTGGGAAAAAAGTGGGAAAAGCTCACCTGGGCCCCTCGGACCAGGGGGGGCATCACGATCTGGGGGCTCTGCTGAGATCCCAACTTGGCCGTGGCCGCTTGGCCCCCCCGGAGCAGCGGAGGGGGAATCCCAGAGCCCGGAATGCGGCTGGAAGAGGGCTGGAAAAACGGGAAAAGGCGTCAGCAGGAATCTGGGAATGCTGGGAGTGCA